GAGAGCCTCCTTACCTCGCTCCATGTTGGGGTCCCACAAGGGGCGGGAGAGTGGGAAGATAGCCTCGAGCTGTGCTGACTCTGAAGAGGGTTGGCCGGGGCCAGGAACCAATTTCCTTCCCTCTGACCTGACTCGCTCTCTCTCCTCCGAGGTGAAAAGGGTCTGGAGGAGCTGTTGGCAATCATCCCAAGTGGGCTGGTGGGTGAAAAAGACAGACTCCAAGAGGGAGATTAATCCCTGCGAATTCTGAGAGAAAGAGGGATTTCCAGTTATAGAGGTCACTGGTCGAAAAAGGGACGTAAACCATAAAAGGCTGTTCCTCCCCGTTGGGGGCGGCCACCTGGCGCAAAGGCAACATCGGGGCTCCAGAGGAGCCCGGAGAGGGTGCTGAATGTGGGGGTCAGTACTCTGCTCCACTGTGGGTATGAGATGGACTCAGAGGATCCTCAGGGGGAGCTGCCATTTGGGCTGACAGATACAGGGTGGCTCTGCCAGGATGGGGTCCTCCGGGGGAGGTGGGAGAACAAGGGGGTTCCTCTCAGCCTCCCTAGGAGGTGTAGTGAGGAGGACAGTCCACCTGTCCCAATTTCTTTTTCTTTTCTGAGGGTTTCTGGCAATCCCGGAGCCATTTAGGATTTTTAGTTAAGACATCTATCCAAATTTGAATATACACCATTTGGTCCGGGGGCCCGGGGTTTCCAAAAATTATAGCCTGGACCTGATAGGCTAAATCCAAATCGGTCGACCCCTCAGGAGGCCACTCGATCTGCGGGAACGTTGGCCATTTACGCTCACAGAATTTCTGTAAAAATGTTACAGGGGCTCCGTAGCCCTCGGCTCTTCACTTGAAGTCCTGAAAATTTTTCAAAAAACATTGAAGGGGGTTACAGACAGTACATGAAGCTGATTGACCGATTCTGACAACAAAAAACAAATTGGACACAACAATAGACACAGACAAGACAAATAACAACCAGACTCAGGATCACCAGGCACCGTCGTGCACCGGGATCTGGTCTCAACGAAAGTAGTGCTGCGTCCAGCCTTCCGGAGACCTCTGATGGGCCCACAGAACCAGAATTAGACTCAAAAGAATTGAGTCTTCTTACCGGTAAGATTCAGATCCAGATGGCTCCAAGTGAAGTCAATTAGACAATTTTTGGACAGACCTGCCAAACTCTATCGGTCCTGGGGCTGAGGAACGTCTCTCAGAGATCTCCCCCTAGGTCCAGGAGTTTGGATGTCTTCCCTAGACTCTGGTCACGGGACCAGTCAATAGCCAGTTATCTCGCTGGGGCCTCCAAATGTTGTGGAGCGCGAGTGACAGAATGACCAGAACTCCAGACTGATTAAAATTTAGAGAGCCGTCCTAACTGGTTTGGGTCAGTGGATAGAGCGTCGGCCTGCAGACTGAAGGGTCCCGGGTTCGATTCTGGTCAAGGGCATGTACCTTGGTTGTGGGCACATCCTCAGTGGGAGGTGTGCAGGAGGCAACTGATCGTGTGGGCTTCTTGCAGGAAAAATGTCACCATAGGAGTCCAACCCAAGGACCTACTGGTCTGGTGCACTCGCCCGCCGGTCGCTCAACAAACTGAGCCACAGGGGCCAGGGGGAGAGTATGTGTATTAAAGCTGGGGACAGTGAAGCAGGAAGGCTTAGCATAGAAGCAAGGGGAGACCCAGGCGGGGCTGCTCTGGTCACTGAAAATGTTCTGTAGGAAAGACATGAGCCTGGGCGGGGCTGCTTGAGCTCCCTGGGGAATGAGGAAAAGGGGGCCTTTTTCCTTTTTTAAAAATATATTGTATTGATTTTTTACAAAGAGGAAGGGAGAGGGATAGAGAGTTAGAAACATCAACTCGAGAGAAACATCGATCAGCTGCCTCCTGCACGCCCCCTACTGGGGATGTGCCCACAACCAAGGTACATGCCCTTGACCGGAATCGAACCTGGGAGCCTTGGGTCCACAGGCTGACGCTCTATCCACTGAGCCAAACCAGTTAGGACACCTTTTTCCTTTTGAGAAGCAAATATTTTTATTGATGTCAGGGAAGAAGAAGAGGGAGAGGGCACCCAGGGGACTGCCCATAGATGTTTCTGTTCATAGAAACATCAGTGATGAGAGAGAATCATGGATCTCCTGCCTCCTGCACACTCCACACTGGGGATAGAAACCACACCCCAGGCAAGTGCCCTCCTGGTTCCTAGGTCCACGCTCAACCACTGAGCCCCGCCGGCAGGGCAGGAAAAGGGGGCCTGGAGACAGGTTCAGGGGGTCAGCCTGGGTGCACCTGTCCTTGTCCGTTGCACCCCTCCTTGCAAATCTCCTGAGGTCCCTTAGAATTTGGATGAATGCCTGTGGGGGAAGAAGGGGGGAGGGGAAAGATGTACATGACTAGCCTATTACTAGTAGGACTTACTTTTCATCCGAGTATATAGAGAAGAGAAAACCAGACATTCAGGTCACGACCAGCCCAGGGCGGCCCAGCTCCCCTGACCTTGTGAGCGCCTCTGTGGGACCTGTGAAGGGGCAGCAGGTGCCACTACTACATGGGGACCCTCACGAGATCCCCACCTGGTCATGACTTCCAACCAGGAATGAGCCTTTTTCCTTTGCCCCCATCCCTCCCCTGCATATGTTCTGTGGTACACCCAGGGAGCTGCCCATCACACACAGGGATTTGGGGCAGGGACAGGGGAGGGGGAGGGGCTTAGAAGAGGGCCAAATGCAGAGAGGCCTGATGACTTTCAGATGAGTCACTGTGGGAAGGGACCAGAAGAGCCCCAGCCTCCCTCTTTGGGTGAGAACTTCTTGTGCATACTTCTTCTCCCCCCTCACCTGGGGTCAGATAGACTGGGCCCAGGGAGGGCAGGACTCTGGCAGGAAGTTAGGACACAGCTAAGTTAATGGCACAGACCCCTGTCCAGTAGCAGCTGTGCCCCTCCATGGGGGGCAGAGCATCCAGGAAGGAGGGCCAGAAGGAAGGAGGGAGGAAGGAAGGAGGGAGAAAGAAAGGAGGAAGGAGAGAAGGAAGGAGGGAGGAAGGAAGGGTCCCTGTGGCTCCCGAGCACAGGAGGAGCAGCAGGGGAAGCGGCCAGAACCTACCTGTGATCTGCTGGGTGTATGTCCCACAGTCTTCAGCCTCTGACTTGTTGCAGTCCTTGGGGATGACGAATATCCCCGAGGTCTGGCAGCACCTCTGTGTGGGGCGGTGGAAGGGGTACAAGTCTCTGCAGCAGCTCCACGTGGAGTCCTTGGGGTCCAGGGCCACGCTGCCACAGAGTCGCCACTTCTCCTTTCTCACCACCA